TATATCTGGCTTTTTCTGTATGATCCATTTCCATAGGTTTTACAGGGCAGTTTTGCGCTGTGTGGTATGTGCTTCCGCATTGTATACATTCTAATTTAGAGAGTTTATCTCTTCATTCTTTGAACTTTTCAAATTTACTGGTTGAGTATGGTGTAAATTTGCGTGTGTTATTAAACTTCTTGAATGTGCTTTTATATGCTGATGAGTTATACTTTGGTCTGAAGTTTTTATGAGCTTCGATATGTGATTTTGGTAAGGGTAAATTAGATATTGGTGGTCGATTTGTTCATTTATCAGCAAATCGTTTGAATGCTGGATTTTCATATTTTAGTTGGTCATTAAAGTAATTAGTGTTGAAGGGATTCTTTATCCATCTTCTAGAGTCATATCTGTTTCTTGGGAATTTTCCTTGATCTTCTTTATTGTATTCTCGTTTACTAAACTTTTTCTTGTAAGGTGGTTTTTTATTTCCTTTTCCTTTGTTTTTGTTATTTTGATATCCTTGTTCTTTTCCTTTGTAATTATTATTCTTTACAAAGTTTCTTTTGTTGTATTTTCTGTTAAAAGGGTGGTAAGCTGGTTTGTTTTTGCAATCTCGTTGGAAGTGTCCTCCTCTTCCGCATTTGTAGCATTTGACGTCTCTTGTTTTTACTACAGCGTAATCTGATTTTGCTGAAAAATGCATTTCTTTTTGTTTTTGATTATTTTTCCAGTAAGGTTGTTTTTCACTGTAGAAATTTTCTTTCTTTTTGCTTTCAAATTGTTTTGCAAAATCTCGCCCTACTATGCCTTGTTTGTAGGCTTTGTTATTTGTTCTACTTTAGTCTAAAAGTCTTGGCACGATGTTGGTTTTCTCAATAATTGGAGTTGGTAAGCATAGTCTTCATTGGGATGTCTTCCTTTAGGGAGTCTATCATGTGTTGATAATGCTCCTCCTTGGTTTCATGCTTGGAGCATGTTTGCTTCTTTTTGTAATCTGTAGAATTCTTGTTTTATTTCATGAAATTCTCCTGTTTTGATATAATAGAATTGGAATTTGAAGTTTTCAAATAATTTTTGAGCTGCTTCTTGATGTTCGAAGGTTACATATGTATGGTGCATCCATAATATTATTGAACATTGTTTTGATGGTGCATCTCCAGAGACTTGTCTATCGGGCCAGTCGGCTTCAAAATTTCCTTGTCCTATTTTTTTAACTTGAGCTGTATTCCATACTCTGTAATTTACATGGAGTGTGGTTGGAAAGTATTTTGTTATTTGCAATGAGTCAGCATTTCCATTTCCTGCTGTTGTTTCTGCGAATGCATTACAGGGTACTCTAGTGCCGTTATTCCAGTCACTAGGGAATATGCATGTGAAGTGTTGTTCATTTTCTTCGTATTTATCTTGTTGTAGTCTGTTCCATGTTTGTATTAC